ATTGAAATAAGTCTTATTTTGGAGCTTATAATTCGGACAACGGTGAACAATAGCTGCTAATACTGTGTCTTCTCCTTGTGTAAAAGCATAATCTAATCCATTAGCCCTAGCTACAACAATTGGTATCCCAATTTCTGCTTCTAATTTAGGTGCCATTCCTTCAAGATCCATTTTAATGATTTCGGTTGTGCAAGTTCCTATCCATACTATTACACTTGGGTTTCTGTCCTTTTTAATTTGGATGCAAGTCCTCGTGCTTCTTTTCTTCCTTGATCACTCGGGAGTTGATCACCGGGTCCGAGTGGATTTTCCCTGGGATTCCGGTAATCTTTTTGCCCCCACATGGTGCCATTTGCTGTCCGAGGGAGGGAAGATGTCTGGCTGTTTGATCGTCGGGGTGGTGTTAGTATAGGTCCAAATCCATTTGGGGTCTGGGATGTTATCATCGAAGACCCAGCCGTCGTAGTCTGAGTCGTTGACGAACCAGATTCCTTTAGCTTCTTCCACCTCTACTAACATGTTCTGCCTCAACTTTTTCAGTTCAGTAGAGCGTGGGCATTTGGGATCCGTTCCCAGATGGCCTCTAACTTTGCATCTAAAACAGATCGGGGACGCTTTGGTTGAGACTGTTACCGCTGTGACTTTCCAATGAGACATTGCCACTCTTCTGGGAAGATCGAAGGGTCGTCGGTGAGTACCTCCAAGATAGCTGTGACTGAGTCGCAGTGGGGAGCCAAGAAGTCGGGCGTGGGGAGGACCCACTTCAGTACCTTATTGGCTGGATATTCCACGTCTAGGCGGTCTTTGATAAGGGGGTGTCCTCTGGCGGGGATATTGTCGAATTGTACCCAGAACTGTTCCCTCATCAATCGCTATTTGTAGGAGGCAGCTGGCGAGATTTCGGCTCACTGGGCTGTTTCCGCTTTCCAGCGTGACAGGGTGCAGACAGAGCCATTACAGTTCAAAGTTTCGCATTTTTCCAGCAAGTGTGTGGCTTGAGTGGCGTCTTTGAACACCACCATCATCATGGTTCTGCCCAATCCGAGCAGGGAGAACTTGTCAGCATCAGTTTTGATGTTCTCCTGTTCCATAATAGTTTTCACTATCCACTTCCTCTTCTCAACGGGTGAGAGCCTTGCTCCGGCGTTGGAGAAGGAGAAAATGAGCGCATGCTTCTCGTAGGTCGCGTTCGTGTCGGCTATCTTGTCTTTCGGGTATGCCCATGCTGTCACTTCTTCATTGGTGTTGTCCTTGGTATTTTTGACTTTGATGGTGACTTTCTCTCCTCTGATTTGTGGGGCTTCCAAAAGGAAGCGCAGCGTCTCATGGTCCACATTGGAAGCATTCTGGGGGGTAGGCCTTGAGGTGGCTGTTTTAGTTGCTGCTACCGCGCTAGAGCGGCGCTGGTAAGTCTGAGCCATGTCTTTATCTGCTGAGACTGACCTACGTGAAATGGTTAGATTTTTCGGGTTTTGGGTTGAGTGATCTACGATGGAATCTATGCCTCGTTTCTGGAGCTGGTTGGGTGGTG